TTTCCCTGTTTTCCCCGCCCTTTCTCTTTCCCATCATCTCCCTCTGTCTCCCTCTCTCTTTCCCAGTTTTCCCCGCCCTAATTTTCTCTTTCCCACCAGCTCGCTCCGTCGATCTCCCCCCTTTTTTCTCCCACTTCTCTCTCTCCCACCACCATCTCGCTCTCTTTCCCTTTCTTTCTCTCTCACCATCTCGCTCTCTTTCCTTTTCTTTCTCTCTCACCATCTCGCTCTCTTTCCCTTTCTTTCTCTCTCACCATCTCGCTCTCTTTCCCTTTCTTTCTCTCTCACCATCTCGCTCTCTTTCCCTTTCTTTCTCTCCCACCATCTCGCTCTCTTTCCCTTTCTTTCTCTCTCACCATCTCGCTCTCTTTCCCTTTCTTTCTCTCTCACCATCTCGCTCTCTTTCCCTTTCTTTCTCTCTCACCATCTCGCTCTCTCTTTCCCTTTCTTTCTCTCTCACCATCTCGCTCTCTCTTTCCCTTTCTTTCTCTCTCACCATCTCGCTCTCTTTCCCTTTCTTTCTCTCTCACCATCTCGCTCTCTCTTTCCCTTTCTTTCTCTCTCACCATCTCGCTCTCTTTCCCTTTCTTTCTCTCTCACCATCTCGCTCTCTCTTTCCTTTTCTTTCTCTCTCACCATCTCTTTCCCTTTCTTTCTCTCTCCCACCATCTCGCGCTGTCTCCGCCCCTCTCTCTCTTTCCCACCACATGGCTCTGTCTCATTTCTCTTTCCCTTTCTTTCTCTCCCCCCCCCCCCCCCCGCCTTTCTCTCTCTCTCGTGCTCTTCGATTTTATCAAGACACGGTATAAAATTCTCGTTCAGAAAAAATATACAGTGGTAAAACCGCGGCGTAATTGTGCCTCACATTTATGCATCTTATTACACACAGACATGAGGAATAAGCGTAGAACCGAGGACCTTCGTTCCACGCATTTGCCATTGACTTACACATTATTTATTCATTAAAAAAAAAAACGCCATGCACGGTTTACCGCTCAGTATGGATTGTGTACTGAAGCTGTCACTGTTTCTGTTGTATGTATGCAGAATATTTTTAGGCCTCTGGCTGTATAATTAAATGAATCACTGTAGGAATTGGGGAGTTTTTACCTAAAGATAAGCTCGAGTTCTGGTAATGGTATAAACAAAATTCTCACGGAATTCAATAACACTTTCACTGAAAGTTCAACATTACAAATAAATGACATGTGCCAAACGACTATACGGGCTGAGTAATGAGCATAGAAAGATAAGGAAATAAATGTAATTTGTATAGTAGGCCTGACAGGCCGACACCATGTAAATATGTGTAAATGAGTGTTGTGGTTTTGATTGAAGACAATTTCCAGCAAGTTTTTTAATCATTTTTTACAATCGATCTTTCTGCAGGATAAACAATCCAGAATTAATTATAGCCATTTTCTCCTGATATATGATGCCCATGCATATTACCAAAGCTTAATATTTATATAGCTTTAAGAGGGTGTACTGATGTCTACATCAAGCAACATAAAACTCTCTTCCGGTCTTTCTGCATTGTGTAAATATATATTATAAAATTTATTCCTCAGAACAGAAATATATATCTACAGAGCATTTTGATACACAAGTTCTTGAGCCATGAGCATTATTTAGCATTCTTGATGGCCCCCAGTAATAATGGTGGCTGACACAATATTCAGCTCCTTGAATTGGTGTACAGTTTGCAACTTGTAGGCTAATATTTACATGTAAAAGGCACTAGAAATCACATGACACAAGACAAAATATGGAATTCATGACTAAAATGGTAACATGATAGCAACTACCTTCTGAAAAACAACCTAAGCATTTTCAACAACCTTGTTAAAAGTACATGTATGTGCGAACAAGAGAATGACATATAATCTAAGAATGATTGATAGGGATATACAATAGGGTATTGAAATTGCCCTCGAGTTGTTTTTTTCTTCAAATCAAAGCCGACTGTCAGACAAACATGGTATCATCCATGTTTTATAATCAGTGAATTTATAAGTCAAGTAGACTGATTTCATTATTTTACCATTCATTCATGACACTTCTCCCAAAGCTACATAAAAGACACAGAATATCTATTTAAAAACATAAATCAATATTTGCCACATTTCCCATACAGGTATTTCAATTGCCCACTGCATTTGAGAAAGACCTGAATTGAAAGACATCAACAATTACAATAATATATTCAAATATCAGATTGCATGCGTTACCTCTTTTAACAAATCAAGGTTGGTATTGCAAGACTCATTTTATCTCAGATAAAAAATCTGAAAAATTGATCTAAGTGAGATAAAATACCTGTAAAAATCCTTTAAAATAGGTATTCTGAGAATCATTTTATCTCGAGGTTGGACTTTCCCTTCAGATTGCATGTAGCGGTACTATACTTTTTAATACAAAGTAATATCTAAAAATATTACATTCAACATTAAAAACATCACCAATTGAGCTATATGACCATTCTACAACCAAATTCTTCATAAATTTAAAGAATCTTGAGTGAAATTTCTTTAAAAAAATAACAAAAACAACTCTGCATTAGACGAGCTTTAATAGGCAAGGATAACATTTTCACATCTTTTAGTTAACAAAGAGTTTAGACATGACTTGAATACAAAGACGGCATTGACTTACTTTATTTTGAAAAAAGAACATTGAACTACATGTGCTGTATAAATGGGGAATTTAAACTTATTCTGTCTCATACCTTGAGCCATTTCACCATTCTTCATTACTTAAGGAATCCCGACAGAAATATCTTAAAAAACAATAAAAACTCTGCATTAGACCAGCATCAATAGGCAAGCATAACATTTTCATATCTTTTAGTTTACAAAGAGTTTTGACATTAATACTTGAATACATTACTTGAATATATACAGTAGTAGAACAGTGAACTACATGTACATGTGTATAAATGGGCAAGATCACCTTATTCTGTCTAAAATGTTTACCAACAACATTTAAGATTTCAAAAGAACTACTAGAGCTTAGATTGGACTGAATATAAAAAATAAAAAAGACAAATTTTATTCATGCTCTGGGCCCTGTCTTATAAACAGTTGGAAATAATTGCAACTTAGTTGCGTTTGATATCAATCGCAACTACCGGTATGTACATAAGAGATAGGAGACTGCAAACTTGATTGTAGGACTTGCAATTAATATGGATAAATCGCAAGTCCTCCAATCAATCACAAGTTGCAGTCTCCTATCTGTCATGTTAATATTAGTTACAATGTACGTTTAATACATCTCTTTATAAGACGGGACCCTGTTCTCCACAATATTTGGTATCATATAAGGCACCAAATGACCAAAAAAAAGTTGACATAGTATTTAAGATCATATTTTGAATAGCAACATGGAATAAACACACAAAGCAAATTAACATTATATTTCTTTGTGAATGGTACACATCCATCACCCTAAGAGAGTTGTACCATGGCAGCAGTTCACAGTTTTGGTAAGCTCTACATAAATCACTTTTCCATCCTCAAATTGACACCAATCATTTCCACATAGTTTTAAAAATAGATCTGTATATGAAATAAATGAATTTGAATGTAAACTAGTTAATTCAACTACAAAACATAAAAATACTGATCAATTTATATACTACACAATTTGGATACTATTTCACTCCTCATGCCAATTTAGAGACTTCAGTGATTTTGTACATTTACATTTCCTTATTCATCATTGAAAGGTAAATACGAAAAGATTTCTGTGTTTTTTCCTTTTCTGCTCATGTAAAATCCCAAGCATTGTGGATTTAAAGATGGTGTAAAAAGGGAAAAAGACAGAAAAAGGCCATATGTTTGTCCTACCTGCCAACCATTAATGCAATTTGCATTCAGACTATGGAAATACAATTATTTGTAACAAGTAAATTTATAAAATGATTTGTAACAAGGCACTTAACTACGATTCGTGCATTAAATTTGATTAATTATACATGTATTATTAAAATGGTCTATTCATATCATACACTCTTTACAATGTGAATTGCACCTGGATACTGAATGCACTGTTCAAATATTAAAATTCACACAAAAAATTGCAAAAGCAACATGACTGAAAGACTGTTTGAAGATGCACTGTAGACTATTCGAGCATAAATGACCCGTCATATTCGTACGAATCAAATACACTTCCAAACCATGTTGATAAAAGCACAAACATATATACAATATGGGGACACATTGAATTGCATTTCAATGAAAGTATCATAGCAAATATACAACTCTATTACTGATAGGCACCCGTCAAGTTTTATCCATATCAGTTAGATATCAGCATTTTCAACCTTTTTCTAACACTCTGTTTTCAAGAAATTTGACATTTTATTCCAAAATAGAATGACTAAATTTCTCTTGCGGCACACCGATTGAAAAAAACGCTGAGATAAAGGCTTCCTTTAAAATATTGTTCTGTAGCAGTACATTTGTAAAGCAATTACTTACAGCGAACAACAACGTGGGACATTATGGATATGTCAGTACTAAAGGGGAAGTCCACCCTGATATTAAGTTCTTTTTTTAAAAGCAGAAAGATGAGAGGAACAGGTCAGTGAAAGATTGAGCAAATTCTGATTAGAAATAAGAAAGTTATGAATTTTTGAAGTTGCGATATATCATACACAATTAGGCAACTCTGTGACATATCTTGCGAGCTCCCCTACCATTTGCTCTGCATTTACAAAAACAAAAAATTTAGTTTTTATTTTCCCTCTAAAATTTGTTCAATCATACATGCACCATAAATATAATTTTCAAAGTTTCTATTCAATCCCTGTATGGAGAAATAAATCAATACGTCATCAATAACAAAGAAACTGAAATGTTATGAAATTTTAAGTACAGACCAAAGTGGAGAGGAGCTTGAAAGATAAGTCCCAGTGTTTTCAAATTGTATTTGATTGATTGCAACTTTAAAAATTCATAACTTTCTAATTTTTAAGAATTTGGTCAAACTTTCACTAACATTTTCCTCTCATTTTTCTACTACATGTACTAATAAAGCCAATTTAATATCAGGGTGGACTTCCTCTTTACAGCAAAGTCGTCTGAGTTGGGATGATTGCATGAAATATGTCCTATTCAACATATTTTTTTTCCCTCTTAAAGAATATGAGAAGCCGTTCAGTATGGTAATTGACTGTCTCTTTCTGAAGAACACGACACAATTCTTCACCAAATATGTTGACAGTCTGTAGGACAGTTGTACCAATGTCCTGTCAGACAAACATGGAATCATCCGCTGTGTGTTATAATCAGTGAGGCAGCCACACAGCAATCTCTCTTATAACTGCCCACTGAACCTGAGACTTAAGAACATGAATACGTAGACACGCCACCGCTTCAGTAAATTTTTCCCGAACATTTACGTCAATCTCCCCTTTCAGAAATCGCCCAACCTCGACATAGTCGCTACACTCCGGCAACGATCCCTCATTTCCTTTATGAAGTACCTTTGAGCTTAACTCAACTGCAGCCTCTTCCAGCATGTCTGCAGGATGTTTGTCCGATCCGGTAGCGATGGCCACGCGGGATAACAGAGTTGGCAGATTGAATACAAGAATTACTGACTGGCCTTCTTTAGGACTACCTGCCCAGAAGAACCCAGGCTCCGGGCTGTAGCTCAACTGCGGCAAGTACATGCTGAATGGTTTCATGTCGCTGTACACCTTACCTGGAGGATTGTCACTATCTGTATACTTGCGATGATCAGGTTCAAAGAAATTGTCCTCCATGTCCATTTCCTTCTCTTTAAGCGATGACTGTTTGCCCTTGTGTTGGAAAAGTGAGGGCACCCGCAGGTACGTCTCTTGCTGCCCGTTCACAGAATTGAAATATCTATAGAGGAAATCCACAGGTTGATCCTGGTAGAAGAACATGACAAACTGCGCAAGTCTGTCAAGATCATACGCATGAAACAGCTTCCCGATGAAGCCCAGGACAGAGAACTCAAGAGTTACCCAATCGATGTTGCTTTTGAGCTGAACAAACTGTTGAATTGCAGTTATATACCCTGGGGTAGTAATGACATCATCCTCAATTTGGATGTAATACTTTGAAAGACTCTCAGCGTAAAAGAACATGAAAGCAAAATCCACACACTGTTTGGACCGCCAGTAAACCCTCTCCTTTGAGTCGCCATACTTCAGTTTCAGGTTGCCGAGGGGCGGGTAGAACCCTGAAGGAGCCTGGATGACTTGTATGAAACCACTCTCAAGATGGCTGAGGTACTTGTCCATCATCATGTTCTTCAAGATGTTGCGTTTCTCTTCGTCAAGATCTGCCAGGAATAGAAGAAGAACGACATCTGACCGTTGCTCCGGAGTGGAGTTGTCAATGAGGGAATCCAGGGTTTGTGTCAAGTAAAGCTCGCTCTTTCTTTCAACTGTGGGTATGCCAACTGTCAGAAAACCTGTAGGCACAATAAAAAGAGGCATGGAGATTTTTTTTTTTTTTTTACATACAATACCTCCTTCTTCTTCCAGTAGAGTAAAGACCTCCGTTGGCGTATTATCGTACCTTGTGCTTGTCAAGTGCTGAGTTCTACAAGAATTCTATGTGCAGCTAAAATTCTTTGAATTTAGAAGATAACTAGAGCTGTAGCAATACTAAGCTGCCAATAAGGTGTTTCCTCCTCAAGTGAAATATTGAATAAATGATATTGACAGGTAAAAATTCCACCAGTGTAAACAAAAAAATTCTGTTTACGAGAGCTCAGCTCTTTCTTGGTTTGGATTTTTTTTCTCAGTTTACCAGAGTTTATTAATCGCTCACAACTCCTGTGTATTTTTGTGTCGCTGGTACCTACACAGCATATTATTATAAGGTCTATTAAAAAAAACCAGACCCTACTGAATCATACATTTTGCAAATTTGACATTTTAATCGTCATTTTGTTTATCTATATTCTTCCAAATTGACATAAAAATCATGAGAAAGCTCACAATCTATTTGTTATTGTTAGCAGTAGTTGATCTTCTCTTGATATATACATGTATATATCAAAAGAAATATTGTACAGGAACAAAATGTAAAAGTTGTCCGGCATAGCTCTTACCTGGCTCATTCCGTTCGTATCCCAAGACCAGGGCCTTCTTGAGGGCTTCTTCATTAGGCTTGGTCCATAGCGGAGTCATTCCACACGACGCGTTCTGCATGCAAAAGAGAAATGTTGGACCATGACGTCATCAACCCTTAGCATTATTTTCCTTAATTTATATCCACAGATACAGTTGACAACTATATTATTCATACCCTTACCAAATTTTGTAATTTTTTAAGTATGAGAACAAATTATTTGTCCCGATTTATGTTTCTTGAGAATGTGACAAATCAAAGCTTAAAAGTACATCTAAAATTATTCACCAAAGGCCTTAATTCAACCAGTTCACCTTTCATTCTTGAGTTACAAAGTACACAACAAACATAATATTTTATACAAGGGGTATGAGTGATTCCGTTGTTAACTGTATATTAAAGATAAAGTTGCAATTATTGGATAAGATTGTCCATCATGGAAGAACCTGACTCAGAAGCAATTGGGAATGAATTGGGGTTTAGGAATCACAAAATGATCAGAAATTTACTGATTCTTGCTGGCATGAATGTTTGGTCCAAAACTTTAATTTTTCTTTTCTGATCACATATTACATTTGATGAACATGTGTTTCAGGGAACTTTTTGTTCTTCTTTTTCGTTTGTTTAACAATATTCTTCCAAACTGACATACAAATCATGCAAAAGCTCACAAACTATCTAAGTTAATCTTCTCTTAATACTGTAGTTCAAAAGAAATATTGTACAATGTTTCAAGATGAGCAAGATAAAAGAAAAGGCCAGGCTACAGAGTTAATTTAATTTTATTACTCATCATTCCTAAGTATCATTTGAGGTGTTCACATACACTTGTACGAGCATTGTTTTTTAGTGGACCCCTGTTTCCAACATGTATTTCTACATTTGTTGTAAATGTTTGTAATTTATTTGTAATGTTTTGTTGGAAACATGAATAAATTGAAATTAAAATTGAAAGTGTAAGAGAAATTGATGAAAAGCAATATATACATGTCCATGTACAGTACATACCCTCGCCGGTACATGTGATCTGTCATTGCTACTGGCACATTTTTGTTTGAGTATGTTGACAGTGTCAAAAAGAGTGTCTCGTTGACCTATGACCTGCTTCACAAACTCTGCATGCTTGGCCGGTTGCTTGTCATCTGCATAGGAACATAAATATATCATGCAAGGAAGAGAAGAGAAGGAAAGAAAAAAAGGGATTAGATTAGACAAGAGAGAAATGAAGGGGCAACAAGAGAGAAAAAGAGAGAAAAGAGAGAAAAAGAAAAAGAGAGAAAAGAGAGAAAAAGAGAGAAAAAGAGAGAAAAAGAGAGAAAAAGAGAGAAAAAGATAGTAAGAGAGAGAGAGAGAGAGAGAGAGATGGGGAAGGAAATGAGAGACGGAGCATGTAATCCAGGAATATGATATACATTCAGATAAATTTATACAAGCTTTCCAGTTGAATACAATCATTTCAAGTTAGCTTTAAGTGTTCACATTGGGATTAAAGGTAATACAAAGTTTAGGTATGGGGTCATGAATTTGGTTCAAATGAATATATTGGAGGCATATGCGATCCTACAATATTGAGTGATCGTTGTCGCGGTTGAAATCGAGTCTAAAGTTATGAAATTGTAAATAATAAACTCTTTATGTTGTATAGCTCCCTCTCAAGGTCGGGATATTAATTAAGCTATAAAACAATGTTTCTTGACTAAAATTGGCGGATCAGCTATTCCCGTTTGGAAATTCTATATCACAACTACATATTCTGAGATTTTCATGGTCGCAGTTACCATTGTACGGCCGTAGGCACTATTTGAAATTCATCAAAATTTACCAGGAGCACTAGTAAATTTTTATATTCTATTTTTCTCGAAAGCAGAAGTGTTTTAGTGGCTAATTTTTCTAGCGCTTACAGTTGTATAATACATCTACAGGGGCAACCAAATATATCAAAATTGTAAAGATTCACTATCCACCCAATTTTCCAAATATCCCAAAACTTTGTATTACCTTTAAGAGTAAACATTATGATTATCCTAAAATATTTATCAAAAAATACTGTCAAGCTCATGCCTTTTCTTTACACTAAACAAGTACAGTGTAATGTTTTAATAGCCTAGCTCGTCAGAATAAGTTAAAAAGTTTTTAACAAAATCTACCATAAACATACAGTATAAAGAATCATTGTATGGCAAAACTGGTTTTGAAGTTGTTAGTTGACATGAGAGCCAGCCAATCATGATTAAGCAATCATGCTTATCCCCGCCCAGTCATTTGATTTTCATATGATACAACATTCAGATAAGAACAGGATGCCAATTCTTAATCAAATTTTGATTGGTAACGATGCCAAAACAGGCGTTTTGTTAAACAACATTTTCTTGTACGGCATTTCTTCAGTGATACGATGTTCAGACTACAAAATTACAAAAAAAAAGGAAAAAAAAGAAAGAAAAAAAGGCAGACCCTAGATTTTAAGATTTTGGGGTTGGTCGCAAAGGGCAATACAACAACCATTCTTTAAAGCCTAGCCAAAGGGCAATTTCTTTCAAATAACAAATTCTTTATGTTTATTCAAAGTCGCTGATGTTGTGAGGCTTCAATAGATAGCATTTTTACGTAGTCAAAACTCTTACAAGACTGATTGATTAACCTGTGTAAAAGGGAGGTAAAGTAAGACAAAAAAAAATGACTTCTACATCACGGCACAAGTAGTGTTGCTCTCCATAGCGAACTAGAGGGCAATTTCTTACTTTTAAAATGGTAATGGTAATGGTTTTATTAAAAATTCATTTGCAGCCAGATGGTTGAATTGCAGAACTTTGTACATTGTAAAAACATAAATATTTATACAAACATAAAAAACGTATTAAGACATATCACGCAGTGAATGAATTAAAAAATCAGTGTACACATATATATACAAATTAATACAATTCATAAAATTCGCTTAACATTCTATTCCACAATCATCATAGGGCTGGAGGGAAATATAGAAGAGAGGTAGGGAGGATAATAGTGCAGACAGCACAGGAGATCCAGGAAAAGTGTGAGATAGAGACAGACGGAGAGAAAGAGAGAAAGGGAGAGAGGGAGAGAGATATATATATATATATATATACCGTATATATATATATATATATAAAAGATAATGCTGATGATGAGAGTGTACTATATCAGACATATCGAAAATAAGGTAAAAAGTACAATTTCGACAGAGAGAATACTGGTTGTAAAAATTAATAAATTACATTTTACATTTTCAATGAAAAGTTATGGATAACATATATTGTAAATTGATCAGTAGGTATGCAATCAGATGAGAGACATGAAATATTGAGATTTTGAGATTTTTCTTGTAATAAATATCGTCGCTGTTTTCACGAAGTGACGGTAGTGAAAAAAAATTGCATTCACTTTGCGTTACGTTTTTCCTCACTACCGTCACTTCGTGAAAACAAGGACGATATGTGGCAAGTATGTTTCAATCATTACATAAGTGAACAATGGTAATCTTGATTTACTGTATTATATTATCATTTTCATTAATCAATTATCAAGGTTGTACAATCGTCTTAGTTAAAAAGTTATATACTATTTCACATAAAATAAAATAATTCTCCAGCACCTCTACCTCATCACTATGGGGATAAGTTTACATGTTAAACAAAATAATGTGGACAAAGTGCATGATCACTACTGTGAATTTAGCAAGTCAATAAGGTAGGGAACTGGACCGTTACAAAATTGTTTGGTTTTACATTTTAACTGTTCTCCTGTATTTGATTAGCATAGGCTAAAAGAGTCAGTGAAACTGAATTAAATAGCAGTTGGTAGACTGGCCCCAAGGTCGAGTTTCTTCATCATTTCTTTAAAAAAACAATTTCTTTATGTTTTTTGAGGCTTCAATAGAAACTCACACATGACTGATTGAATATTGACCTGAGAAAAAGGGAGGTAAAGTGAGAAAACAAAAATGAATCTCCCTTTTTGTTTAATAAAGAACACCTTACCCTGAAAAATAAGAAAAGTGTTGCTCTTCATAACTAGAGGGTGCTTTCTTTATGTTTATTCAAAGTCAATGATGCCTGAGGCTTCAATAGATGGCCTCTCTTAATGTTGGTTTTGATTTTTGAAACTCACACAGCACTGAATTGAGATAAATAGGCGGTGTCACACAGAGGCCAAAAATCCGGATTTTAGTTATCCGGTTTTTAAATATCCTCTTTTTGGCTGTCTGACATCAATTATCCCTTCAAAAATCCCTTCAAAAATCCCTTCAAAAAACCTCACATGAAACAAGATAATTCTCTCTTGAAAGGATTTTTCAAGGGTTTTTTGAAGAGATTTTTCTGTCTGACACCAATGTTGAAATAATCCCTTTTAATAAGCATTGTGACATCACACGATTAAATGCGCGCAGTTAAACGTGTGATGTCACAATGCTTATCTGCCTAAACGGCGCATAATTTCGATTGAACGTGTAATGTCACAATGCTTATCTACCTAAACGGCGCATGCGCAATGGCCCATCAAAAATCCGGATTTTAGTTATCCGGATTATTCGTAGCCTGTCTGTCACCGACTCAAATGAAAAAACTAGATTTCTAAAATCTGGTTTATTCAAGATGGGTCGGGATTTTTCTGTGTGACTCCGCCTAATGAAGATATTCTTGGCATGATGTAATGCCTTGTACATGTAAAATGTATCATACACCAAGCTGTAGTTGGAAAGAATTTTTTATTCAATCATAAAATCTCTACTTTTCAATGAGGGGAAAATCCTAGCCGAGAAAGCAAAATATTATATTTAGTGAAAAATATATAACAGGGGAACAATTGTAACTCAATCTTGAGTCAGTTATTTAAAAATACTAAAATATAGCAATTAACAAATCCATTTCAATTAGTATGCAAAACCTTCACCCCAAAAGAGCACCAACTTATTTATGCAAAGTACATGTATATAAAGGATAATAGCAGGTGAGTGAAATACTTCATCACCACACACACCTGGGAAGGAATCATATTAAATTTGAATACATTTACTTCAAAGACGACTTCAAATGGTACATCAAGTTGTAACCAAGAAAGTGGTGATGCTCATGTCGTGATGAGAAACTGGACATTATTCTTCTTTTATACCTCTCTGATACACTTTGGTGGGGAATCTTGTAGATGAATGGGCAAAAATACAATAATCTCTTGGAATAACCAAAGTTATTTTTTTTTGGGGGGGTGAGGTTTCCTTCAAAGAAGAACACAGTTTCGGCAGGCCCAAGGTCTCTCTCTTTCTCTCTTTCTCTCTCTCTCTCTCTTTGTCCCTGCCTTTCTCCCTTGTCCCATCTACCCCTTTTCTCATCTACCCCTTTTCTCTTTCCTCTCATTTTTCTCCTAAGACTAGTCTAAAAAACCTTATATATTCAATTCACTGATATATCTTCCATTGAATTGAAAGGGTTGCAGCAGAACTAATTTGCGTGTGAAAAAGCAATCTGAGCAGCAAGGTTGCCACAGAGGCCGGTGCAGGTCAAATTTGCCACTACAGGGTACTGGTTATTTTACTTCTTGATTAAATCACACCTAGTGTTTAAGAAGACCATATGATTCAATCAAAACAATCATTTATATATCATTAACAGGGATGAAATCAACCAAAATAGTAAACATACAGAGCAAATACTATCTCCTTATAAATGTAGGTGAAGTCAGCAATGATAACATGTTGTTTGTAATAAAAGCAGCAAATTAAAGGTACTACAAAGTTTTGGTATGGGGTAATGAATTTGGTTCAAATGAACATATTGGAAGTTATGCGATTTTACAATATTTAATGATTGTAGTCGTGGTTGAAATCAAGTCTAAAGCGATGAAATTGTAAATATTAAACTCTTTATGTTTTACAGCGCCCTCTCAAGACTGATATCACTTTAGCTTTAAAACAATGTTTCTTGACTACATTGAAAATTCGACCGATTTGCTATTCCCGTTTGGAAATCCTATAACAGATACTACATATTCTGAGATTTTCATGGTCGCATCTACCCTGAAATGGCCTTAGACGCTATTTGAAATATTTGCAATTGACCAGGAGCACCGGTAAATTTTGATTATTCAATTTGCTCGAAAGCAGAAGTGTTTTAGGAGCCAACTTATTTAGTGCTTATAATACTTCCACAGGGGCATCCAAATATTGGTAAATAAAAAATTTAAAAAACTACTGTCCATCCACTTTTCAAAATGTCCCAAAACTTTGCATTACCTTTTAAAAAAAAATTGAAAGGTGTGAAAGCAATGGAACTTTCGTGTTTATTTGTCAATTCAGGAAAAAATATAAATCTTATCTTCTATTATATTAAGTTTTATTTTCGATCTAATTGCCTTTTATGTGATTTATATAATTAGTTATGTTGTGTCTTATGTGATTATGCTATGTTATATTATCTGTTTGCTTGTATATTGTTTAAAAAAAAAAAAGTATTTCTCTTGAAGTGTGGTAATATAGGGGTTCAGCCTTGACAGGCCAAATGCCTTGTTGATCCCTCGCATTCACCACCCTTCATCCTTCTTTCATATTGCCATATATATAAATATTATTATATTTATATTGTTTAATTTATACTGATATGTTTGAATATATCTTCTGATGTATTTTTAAAGAGACGTGAAATAAAATTGAATTGATTTGAATTTTTTTAAAGAGGGGTGCCTTAATCTTTACAGGTGAAATGAAGATTCAGGCATTGTTTTTTAAATTTCAAAATTAAAGTGTACCAAAGCAATTACCTTTAAAAACAATTTGTGTACAACTATAATGCATAAAACCATGATATTAAGGAACGAACTCTTTGCAGTGGTGTACTGATGAACTATGGGAGGGCATTACAAGACATTGTCTTACTAAGGAGCCCAAAAAGACAGGTGAATACAGGTGAATACAGGTGAAAAAGTAAAAAAGTAAGAAAGGAAGAACAGCCCTGAAACTGATGAAGTAAATAAAATAATCATCATTATTATTATAATTAGTAACGGTAGTAGTAGTAGTAGTAAAGAGTATTATTATTACCTGTTGCAGTGTAGAGCAATCTGGCATTCCAGCAACTCACAAGGCATAAGACCACGACGCCACCGTAGAGAAGTTTGTGGATCATCTTTGCACGCGTCATCCTGCTAAACTGAATGAACAGGTACCTGGCCGGGAGAGGTGTTTTTTGTTGGTATCAGCGTTTCAATCTTTCTGAGAATATTTTACGAGTGCATTATCCTTTCATTCCCTGGTGAACGTCACGCTTCACCTCACATCACCTTATCTAACAGTGCCTGTGAAAACAATGGAGGGGGAGAGATAGAGAGAGAGAGAGAGAGAGAGAGGGAGAGACAGAGTGCCAGAGAGAGAGAGAGAGAGAGATGTGGGGATAGAGAGAGAGAGAGAGATAAAGAGAGGGAGAGAGAGATAAAGAGATAAAGAGAGAAAGAGGTAAGAGAGAGAGGCAGTGGAGAGATAGAGAAAGATAGAGAGAGGGAGAGAGAGAGAGAGAGATGTGGGGAGAGAAAGAAAGGGAGAGAGAAAGTGGGGGGGGGGGGTAAGAGAGAGAGAGAGAGGCAGTGGAGAAGAGTTAAAAATAGAATTGATTAGTTTGCAGCGCAAAATTGAATCAGTGCATGGGAACCATCTCATTTTATGTGCTCTTTATATAGAATAATTATACAAAGAACATGATTGAAAATAACTCATGAAAATGAGCGACTGCATGGTCATCAAATCGAGTGTGCAACACAAACACTTGGGTGGAATTATATGCGGGGGGGGGGGGGGGGGGGGGGGTGCACGGTGCAACAGAACACAATCAATAGGGACTCTTAGATTTACACGGCGAGAACGTGGACCGCCACGTGTGACATCCTTTTAAGGTAATGTGACATCCTAATAATTGTAAGGCATTGCCGGGCATGGCCCAGTGACTAATAACACAATGTCACACGCGGCAGCCCGTGCTCTCTCTCGTTGTGTAAATCTAAAAGTCCCTATTGTCATCCCGGCCCCCCCACTCAGGTTTCAAAATGACCGCATGCGTGTTGCGAAAATGTCCTTTTCGTAACAAAAGAAAAAGGTCGAGCCGTATTGACTTTACACACCGGACTTTTGCTGAAAAGGGGGGGATGCTGAAAAAGGCTCGTATACAAAAGAAAAAGGTCGAGACGTATTGACTTTACACACCGGACTTTTGCTGAAAAGGGGGGGTCGGTTGGAACACGCATAGAGTCTATGCGTACCCTAAATAACACTGAGTGGGGGGCCGGGATTGTCATTAAGCTTCATTGAGCTACTTATTACTTCCTTTATACTGTTTTTAGCTGCACATATTTTACTTGCACTGTTACAGCTGGAAGAAGAAGAAGACTGGATCGGGTACCGTATGTGAGCAGACAAGCGATTCTAGCTGCTCCCTAATAATGAATGATTAATATTATTAACTGATTAATATGAGCATGATGAGTAGAAAACCCAAAACAGAACCCAAAACAGAACCTAGCATTACAACTGAGCAAGATTACTTACCTAGATGCGTAGAAGCTTTGGTATTCAAGGTATTCAAGGTATAAGTATGAGCATGATGAGAAGGAGGAGTAAAGAACAAGAACTGGAACTTGAAGACTCAGACTGGGGCCCCGTTTCTCGAAACCGTCATAGAGGTCTATAGGGTTTAACATAAGTTCTTGACTGAATCAGCGCGCGTTGAGTAAGAAGGCGCTTCCAACCCTCCTGATCACTGCTGTCTAGACTGGATGCTGCAGTGCACAGTAACAACAACAAAGGGTACGCTACCAGTCTATCATGTACCATGTGTGATGCAGTATGCAGCTGGGAACGATCCGTCCTGCTGCTTTGTACATCATTAATGGCATCACTGATCAAAAGCATTGCCAAGGCGCCAAGGAAGTGCTAATTTGACATCGCAAGATAATTAGTCTTCAAGCACAGACTTTATTTGACATATTTATCCTGCTTATGGAAAGCCATAGGGGGAAAAATAAATATACCGGTATTCGATCCTTGCAAAATATGTCAAAATATAGACCTATTCATGCTTATGAAGAAATAAATATGTGCTATAAGAATAACTTCGATGTTTTATTAGAAATACATGAGTTTAATATAAAAATATATGCGATATGCCGATTTTGCCGATCGTCGTTTTTTTTTTTTGGGGGGGGGGGGGGGGGGTAAGGTCAACTCTTGGGGTCACCCGTCATTACCACTTTTTTTCCTTCTAAATATTATTATTTTTTTATTAGAAAACAAACAAAGGGGGGGGGGGGGGGTTCCTCAAAAACACACACATGAAAAAAGTTGAAGAGGGGGGGGGGGGGGGGTTCAACCCCCAACCCCCCCCCCCCCCCCCTGCGTACGCGCCTGAATGCATTGTGTTATCGTACAAAAGCTTGTTTATACCGGTACGTAATGACCGTCACATATATTTTCAGAACCTTAAGTCCTCTGTCTCAGTTAATAAAAGGGAAGTTCAACCTAAGTTAAGTTGGTTATAGTTAGAAGCGGAAAAATGAGAAAGCTTCTCTGCTCAGGCAGTGAAAGCTTGAACAAATTCCGATTAAAAATAAGAAAGTTAATTGGTAACTACTCTGTCTCTCATAAAGTTGGATTTTTTTAAATCCCATGATGGAATTATTTTGACTATGATCAATATAAATAGATATACCATAGTTTACATTCTCAGAGTTATTGAATAATAATTTGCCAGTGTTTGTTTTGCGTGACTGCTAAAGCATGCTTATCAACTAGGGGACCTACGCCTTTAAGTCATAAATGACAGTAATGAGGATTAACCCTAATAAGGCCGGGGGCATTATGGCCCCCCTCCACGATTTTTCTAATTGTTCAGGAACGCATATGGATGGCGCCCCGCCGCTCGCTGACTTTTTTCTTTCGAGTCTTGCGCATCTTAAAAAAAAAATGAAAAATGAAAATCGGACCAACAGTTACAAGATCGAATGACCTTTTGTCTTTGCATGTCAGCCCGAAAATCGCTCATTTTTGTGATTTGTGTACAAAACATGAAAATGTCATTTTTCATAAAAATAGATCAAACATTGGTTATTGGGTCTTGTTTAAAGTTTAGGTGGTTGTTTTGGGGGTCAAAATAGTTGAATTGTAGTAAGAAATGAAATAAAACAACAAAAACAATAAAATTCATAAGTTTTAAAAAAAAATGAAATACGCCATAAGATATTATAAAAACAAAAGATAACATTAGGAATTAGCTGGCTCTTCCGAATTTTTTTTGTCGTATTATTATTCCAAATGGTCTAATGAATATATGTGGTGAAAAAGAATGCTTAAATATGAATGATATATGATTTATGGGTACAAATGTGATTTATGACCTAATTAAATTACCATAAATATGCAAATTTTCAAAAAAATGCAATTATTATATTATTCTATACACTTCACTTGACATGCGTGCAAATTTTCGCGGAGATCGGCCCTTTCACGGTCGAGATCTTAAGGGGGCCATAATGGTCCGCCCGACCGTTCTAAGACCTCAAATAGCCCGGCCTTTTTAGGGTTAATGCCCAACAAAAGGGCATTAATATAGCACATCGACACGGTTTCGATCCTGGGGCCTCACAGTTACGAGGCCATTGCTTTGCCACTGAACCATGACTGTACGCAGCGGGGCTATGGTAGGGGGCAGACCCCACAATATGGTCATTATTATGTGGCTCAGTTTGACTTCAGAGACATAAAGAGAGAGAGAGAGAGAGAGAGAGAGAGAGAGAGAGAGAAGGATAAATGCCATACATTCAAAATAATAATGTGGAGAATAAAAGAAATTGTAGGATGTGGCACAAAAACTCGTGTATTCATATAATGCACTTTTATACACAATGTTTTCTCTTCCAAACATCAGTCCTATTTCTTTACTTCAGGTGAGCTTTTATTTAGACTAACCTTTAAACTGAGACTAATATTTAAGCCGTGCCCTCAAAAGCACCTTTTCAGCTCATTAATTATTATATGGAAATTATTGTAATTCATTACTGCTGTGTGCAGGGGCGTCGCTAGACCTTTTTCAGTGGGGGGGGGGGGGGGGTGTAGAGGCCAACGATTACCGACAAAAGTAGCCACCAATAACCGACAAAATTAAATTTCCAATATCTACAAAGTCAACCCTATAAACCTGGGGCCGAAGGCTAAATTGTTTTTCCTATGGACTATCTATAGTACTTGCATATGCGCAAAATGGTCATTTTCCTCGACGACATTAATATACGAATTATTTCTTAAATTTAGTCAGCATCATAGTTATATATTTAATGCAGGCGCGGAGCTAGGATCTTATTTTAGGGAGGGGCGGTAGTGAGCAAGAGAATCACTTAAAAGCGCGCTCATAAGGGGGTGTGGGTGATGAGCCTTCCGCGCGAAGCGGGGAAGCTTAGACGTTTCCTTAAATTATTAGGAAAAGAAGACGATTAATTGTACCGTTTTCGACTGGTAATCCTAGGCTGAATGAAGTTCCCCCCCCCCCCCCTCCCGCGCGAAGCGCGAAAGCTTTGACGTTTCATTAAATTATTATAAAAAAAAGACGATTTGCTGTACCATTCTCGACTGTTTATCCTTTTCTGAATTCAGTATTCCCCTTTTACATTTCCTCATATCATTAGAGAAAGAAGACGATTCGTTGTACCGTTTTCGACTTTTAATAAACCCTATTAATTTTGTCTGAATTCAGTTTCCCCCTCTCGCGCGATGCGCGGAAGCTATGACGTTTCATTAAATTATTAGAGAAAGAACACGATTCGTTGTACCGTTTTCGACTCTAAATAAGCCCTATTAATTTTGTCTGAATTCAGTTTCCCCCTCTCGCGCGAAGCGCGGAAGCTTTGACGTTTCCTTAAATTATAAGAGAAAGAAGACGATTCGTCGTTCCGTTCTCGACTCGTCTAAATGAAGTTTCCCCTTCCGCGAAATTGTTGGCGTTTCATCACAATATAGAGAAAGGAAGACGATTCCTCATACCGTTTTCGAATCTTATTATTATTAAGCCCTATTCATCTGAATTCAGTTTCCCCCTCTCGCGCGAAGCGCGAAAGCTTTGATGTTTCCTCAAATTATTAGAGAAAGAACACGATTGGTTGTAACGTTTTCGACTTTTAGTAAGCCCTATTTGTCTGAATTCAGTTTCCCACTTTCGCGCGAAGCGCGGAAGCTTTGACGTTTCCTTAAATTATTAGAGAAAGAAGACGATTCGTTGTACCGTTCTCGATTCGTCTAAATGAAGTTTCCCCTTCCGAGCAAAGCGCGGAATTTTTGGCGTTTCATCATTTTATAAAGAAAGGAAAATGATTCGTCGTACCGTTGTTGACTCTAAAACCTTGTTTGAATTTAGTTTTTCCCGAAAATTTTAAACCTCTGATTTCTTTAGCTGATATTATAGGAAAGTGAAACTTCGAGAAAATACAAGTATTGTAGTTGTAGTCACTCTCGAAGTCGTCACAGCGGATAAGAAGTCGCAGTTCGTAGGGAAAAAAACTTGTCGGCCGACCGACAATATACATCTCACCGACTTCAAACTTCTGCATTGATATAGTACAAGAGGATCGATCAAGAATACCGACACAGCTGACCCAACACAGCAACATATTTACCCGTGTCTTTCTTGCTCCCTCGACGAGACGACTCCACCCAACAACCCCCTCTCTCTTTTACTCCCACTCCTCCTCTCTCAGACTCTTACCTCCCTTTCTCTCCTCTCTTTCATTCCCCGTTTCTTTTGTTTCCCTTTCACTCTTTTTTCTTCTTTTTTTCCTTTTCTTTCTTTTCTTTCTTTTCCTTTCTTTCCTCTCCCCCCTCTTTTTCTTTTTTCTCTTTCTTTCCTTTCTTTCCTTTCTTTTCCTTTCTTTCTTTTCTTTTCCTTTTCTTTTTTTCTTTTCTTTCCATTCCCCTCTCTTTTTGTCCCTCTCTTTTTTTCCCTCCCCCTTTTCTCTTTTTCCCGACGGCAGCGCAATTTTACCGACAATATCCTGAGAGGTGGGGGGGGGGGGTGTCGCACCCCCCCCCCACACCCCCCCCCTTTGGCGACGCCCCTGGCTGTGTGTATACAGTGTACTTTTAAAAGATTTGCAAATGTTTTCACATGTTTGAGCTTCATTTATTTAAATCGAAATGCAACAGGAAAAAACAGAGATTTGTTTTTTTCTTCTTGGACCTGATTTAAACTGGATGTTCAGGAATGGTATACAGTCTTGTACGAGACGATTTAAGAATAATGCGTGGAGATCAATTCAAAAATAATTAAGTCTGTTTGACATTTCAAGAGGTTGTTTAAGAGAAGAAAAAAGAAAGGTTGAAAGAAGGCGGGGTCAAAAGAAGAAGGAAATATTATAAAAGTAGAATTTTTGAAAAAAATAGAGACGGTATAATTAGAGTAACTATATTAGGCCTAAAAAAGAAGAAGTTGTATTGGCCTTTAGGTGCCAAAACATGGGTCGGTCGGTCGGACATCTTTTAAACAAATTGTTGTGGAAACGTTGTGGAATCGATCAGAAAAGGTTGATCATCTATAAGTATTTGGCCCAGCCTTCGTAAAGTAAGCGGCACTGTACACAGAAAATGTATATGGGACTCAGAGCACATGCAGGTGCGCGACACGTGCGTTTATCTCTCACACACCAATAGATATGACTAATTTACCAAAATAATATATTAATTAGTAGGCGGTTTCCCGGCAAATTTTTTATCATCATGTATTAGTCAAAACTTACTCTTTCACATGATTGGTAATAAGGGCGGGTCGGTCGCAAAGGGCAATACAACATTTTTTTGTTTTGTTAGGCCTTAGAGATAAAGACCGAAAGCTTCAAATCTCTGATGTCGATGGTTGTTCCGCTGAGACTACTACTTCTGGCTTATGTGTGTATCGGGGGAAGGTTGACAAAATAATGTCATTTTTGGGGAATAATTAACCCATATACCAGACGGTTATTTCTTTCTACTATATACTTAACTAGCGAGAGAGAGAGAGAGAGAGAGAGAGAGAGGGGGGGGGGGTTGAAGATATGTCCATTTTGCTCTTATCTAGAGAGAGAGAGAGAGAGAGGGGGGGAGAGAGAGAGAGAGAAAAAAAAGAAGAAGAAGAGAGTACGAATGCGGGGGAGCTATAGGGGCGTGTAGGATTAGTAGAAAAAGTGAAAGAGAGTTCAGAGAGCAAAACTAGACCCACTTCTTATGTCTTTAAAAAATAGATGTTGTATTTGCCCTTTAGGTGCCAAAACATGGGTCGATCGGTCGGAAATCCTTTTTTTTTTTTTTTGTTCTTCCTCTTTGGGCTGATATTTTTCAGTTTTGAATACATATTTGTTTTTATTCATTTAACATTATTTTTTTCCTTCTAAAAAGCCATTTTCAGTAGGTCGCACTGAAGCTATAGTCAATTAACGCCTTATTTATTCGTATAGAATGCATTATTTTGTTAACTATATCTAGTGAAGAGGGTGAAAGATATTTTTCTAGCACACAATAATTGAGGAGTCGAAAGTGGAAGAAGCCAAGAAAAAGGCACTGGAACTCTGGGAGTTAAGGAGGGAGCGATGGGAGGTATGAGAGAGAGAGAGAGAGAGAGAGCGAGAGAGAGAAGGGGACGGCACTCGAGATGGAGAGAGAATGAGGGAAGTGTAGAAAGAGGACAGCAAAAGATTAGGGAGATATATACATGTAGAGAGAGTGAGAGAGATATAACAGTTATGAGGGAGAGAGAGAGAGATCGATCAAGGGAGACGGAGAGAGAGAGGGAGAGAGAGAGAGAGAGAGAGAGAGAGAGAGAGAGAAAAAAAAAAGAGAATCCTGTGGAAAAGGTATGGTTGAAACAAAGTTATTCCTTTGAACAGCACAAGAATCCCATCACCTGCAGTACGTTACAGATATTAAACAATTTTTTTGCTGTTGAAGTAAGAGCAGATATTCAGCGCACCGAGCGTGAACATAGACCCCTGTTACACATGCGTCGGCTTTTAAAGCGGGCCCCGGAGGCGGCCTCACACCGGCAATTTGAAGCCGCCTCGAGATCATCAAACCCCTGTTACACATGATCTCGGGCCCGCAATTTTGCGTCTACACATAGGCCGGCCTCACGTCGCCTTTTCACGAGCTGATGTTGGGGCGGACTCCAGAAAGAGAAAGTGATAGAATGATAAAAACAAAGAATAACATAAGAGAAGGTAATAGAAGGGAGAAACAAAGAATAACATAAGGAAAGACAGAAAGAGAAAGTGATAGAATGATAAAAACAAAGAATAAGATAAGGAAAGACAGAAAAAGAGAGTGATAGAATGATAAAAACAAAGAATAACATAAGAGAAGATGAAAGAAGGAAGAAACAAAGAATAACATAAGGAAAGACAGAAAGAGAAAGTGATAGAATGATAAACACAAAGAATAACATAAGGAAAGACAGAAAGAGAAGGTTATAGAAGGAAGAAACAAAGAATAACATAAGGAAAGACAGAAAGAGAAAGCGATAGAATGATAAAAACAAAGAATAACATAAGGAAAGACAGAAAGAAAAAAGGATAGAATGATAAAAACATTTCACATAAGGAAAGACAGAAAGAGAAAGTGATAGAATGATAAAAACAAAGAATAACATAAGGAAAGACAGAAAGAGAGAGTGATAGAATGATAAAAACAAAGAATACAGGTTACGTCACTTCCGCTTATAAGCCGGCCCGAGTCCACTTTTGGTGTTACACATACCGATTGCGGGACTGAGGCCGGCCTCAAACCACATCCCGAGGTGGACTGAGTCCACCTGGCCTCAGTCCGGCTTTTCGAAAAAAGTTGGTGTTACACATACGTCGAGCCGACTCCGGGGCCGGCCTCAGTCCACTTTCAGACGTATGTGTAACAGGGGTCATAGACTACTACACACAACACCCATCGACAACACAATTTCAGTACATTATTATCAGTACATTAATAATAAATAAATAAATGCAGAAATATCTGCTAAAAAGTATTCGCCCCGCCCCTTAATTCCCCTACACGTGTACAATTTATTTAGCGTACACCTTATGCATGCACAGAGAAGGTTTGTTTCGGAAGTCTTACGAAATACAAGCCGACTTAGCTGATAATGAGTGAAAGTTTGTCTCAGGCCCAGGTATGATAGATTTAATATCATTTGTTTTATCTAGGCCTAGACTATAGACCTCTAGGCTATAATTAATAAGTCCCATATATGCACGCTCCATCTTCTTAACAGGGCTATTAAAGAGCAAAGGGAGGGCGTTTTCGGTACATATCGCAGCTCAATCGTCAACGTACATTCAGTGCAGGTCCCTCGCCGAGCTGTGGCGTAACACTCGGTGCGATGGGTACCTACCACCACATCCGTGAATTCGCGTTTCAGTAGTGAGTAGCTTTTGAGTTTGAGCGTGAGTGAGATCGAAATGACCGCTCAAGCTGTGCGTACGTACGCTGATGACGCTTTCCGAATTCCGTACGCGTATTGGCGTAGAGTCGTGGTATACGCCTATCACGCGATGCTTGAATTCACACATCTTTAAAGCGTACACGCGTACATTATGTAGACCTACGCGTTGTAATTCGATGTAGCCAGTGGAGTGACACAGTGGCGCTGGAATGAACAGCTGCGTTATAATTTCTAGGCCTATAATTATAAACTCGCACAGTCTTTGATCTTGGATTAGAAAGTCTGTTATTAGTTAATGCTGCAGCATGCAGCAGGCCTAGACCTCAGATTTTATCTTGACCTATAGGCTACCGAATGTTTGAACTTTAAGAATCGGTTGGAATTCATGTGAGTAGATCTACACTGCAGTGCACGTCGGACGTCTACAGCTACAGTCCAGACAGACAGCATATAGTGCCAGGGATTCAACTTCATGAAACCTCAGCCTCAGGATTGAGCTGTGAAATAAATTAAAGTCAGACGCAGCTGAAATCTCATCAAGATCATTTGTAAGACTAAGATTCAAGACTGAGGCCAGAGGCAAGACCAAGAATTACATCGTGATACAGACTGAGTAACCGAGCCAAGCTAGGCCCAAGGGTTCTCTCTGGTTCTGGTTCTGGTTCAGAGAACCAGAGAAGAAAAATGAAGCAAAAGCAAAGGAATTCCACTAAGATGTCATCTGATATTAAGAAACGGAGCCATAATAAAGGCTGTAGCGATAAGGACAAGGCAAAATTTCAGACTTCTTGGACTGAACTTTTTCCATTTATACAGCCCGTATTTGAGGATAGATACCACTTTCACTGTGCTCCCTGCCAGAAGGCAATTCCATGCTTTCATCAGGGACGCTTTGACCTTGTTCGCCACATGAGAGGAACTCGACATAAGATAAATATGTTGGAGGCTAACATAAGTTCAAAGGTCACACCGGGCTTGCTTCGAAAGGCACAGTCTATTCGCTTCCCAATCCGCTACCTGTATGAATTCGAAGCACAAAGATCCATGTTAACACATGGCGCAATCGCCTCAAAGCCAGCAGCAGTAGTCTTTGATCGAAGAGAAGATACATTTAGCCTTGCCTGTCCTGGAGCTAGACAGGAATCCAGTGCTATTGGTCATGTCGGCAGTCCAAGCAAAGACTTGGAAGAAGAAGAGGTGCAAAGAGAGATGGCGGAGTATGATTATGTGTTCGCAGAGGAGGTGGATGATGGTTGGTCTGAAGGTGAAATGCAAGATTCTTCACAAGTTTCTGACAATCCAGATAAAGACGTTCCTGGGACATCCTATGAAGCGGACCTTCAGCAGGCTGCAGCCAGCTGTAAGTACATTGTCCTCAACCAAGGCTTCCAACACGATGAGCTTCCAGCGCCGACTCATAACACCAAAAGGCGATTCAAGATAGAAAAGGATGAAGATTCAACCAGGTGTAATTCAATCTTGTCTCAAGCAGACTATACGAGAAGGATCAAGCGTCCTGCAGCAAAGTCCTTGATTGACAAAGAGGGTGTCTGTGTGACCAACGGAATACAGGGGATTGGCTCTGCTGCTGGCCAAGAAGTCTTGCACAAGGAGCGTGGGCAGCAACAGGATGATTTCACAGGATTTCAAATCCACAATCCTCGTAGTTTGAGAGTTGATGACGATGAGGCTCTAGATGTAACAGGCTGGTCGCGTCATGATGAAGTAGGAAAGGTGATTAAGGGGCTCATGGGGGACCAACAGGCACCAATTAGGCATTGTTTGCTGTAAAGTGGGCGCAAGTAGCTATAACTAGTGCATGGGGCTTTAAAAAAAGGTCTATTTTCATCCAAATTTAAATCTGTGTTTATTGCTTCATGCGGCTTCAAAGTTCTACAAATTATATTTTGGGGAGGTGGTGGAATAAAATTTGTAAATAAGTTCCAAGTTTGCTATTTTAAAGTATTATGACGCACGTCTAAAAGGGAATCATACGTTGTAAATTGCGTTTATTGATGGTTCTTGTTAAATTGTTATGTGCAATTGCTTATATTTGTATAGAAATTGGGCATTATGAAATAACAGTTAATGATATTATTATTAATAATAATTAATATTTTTAGTAGTAAGTAGTAGTATTTTTACTAATATTAATATTGTTTTTATCATTGATATTATCATTATTATAATTTTTGTAATTACTGTTATCATTAATTATAAGTAGTACCATGTAAAAAGATTTATATCGTATCATATTTTCTTTTACTAATATTAATATTAGTTATTAATCATTATATTTATTATATCATCAGAATTAATATTATCACATAAATTTTCAAAAAATATATTAATACTTATGGATCATAAATCATAATGCCATATACTGTACATGTATGAGCCTGATTGTTAGAGGTGTTGTGGTATAGTGGTTTATTCTCTTGACACTCAATCTAAAGGTCGGGGCTTCAAGTCCCACCCTGTCTCTAACGTCGTTTGCCAAGACTTTACTCCACTTTGGCCATGCTCCATCCAGCCTCCAGGTGTAAAATAGGTATCTGGTTATGGCTATTGCTGGAGTAATAATAGTAGCAAGGTCCCCAAGAAGAATTACCGGTACACCAATGCTGATGAGTGTGATAAGGCTTCCTAGACAAACGAAATTATTATCATTGTGTTAGATTACAGAATGCTCCCCAGGGAGTGGAGAATGTGCATAATGTACATTGTGTGCGGGTAAGCCTGAATCTGATGACCGGGGTAATAATATATCTGTAAAATGCTTAGACACATCATTGTATACATCTATGTATTGGGTGCTATATAAAAGCGGAATATTATTATGTTATTATTGTTATTATTAATTACTATTTTATTCTGTCAATTTCAGGACCATCCTAGAACTCTGATCCCAGAGCTTCTAAAGCATTTCTATGGGCTTGGCTGGGTCACTGGTACAGGTGGCGGGATCTCCATCAAACATGGGTAAGTCTAAAACTGAACACTTTGATTATTTTCATCCTCTCTATTTATCTATTTTATTTATTTATTAGCCTTTTTTTAGTAAGGTGGCTCCATCAGTTAAATACTGTTTTCCGTGGAGGCCCTACAACATAAAAACAAAATTTACAAACATATGTAAACAATCCAACATGCAGGGTTGCTTGATTGCCATAGATGCAAAATTACACAAAACGATAGCCACCAATTGATGTAAATGTATTGTATTTATAAAAAGAATCTTGCCATTTGAATGGTTTCAGACTTGAGATGAGAAGTTTATGATTAAAAAAAATAATTGTAATTACATGTACATGTACAGTGCAATACCATATTGTTTACATTAAACTCTCCACAGTTTGTACTCTGTATACACCATCAGGTACCGGTTTCACAAAGCCTTTTTTCAATGACAAATGACAAAAATCTGTGACAAATCTGTTGATAACCAATCAGAAGCAAGGATTTGAGTAGCTTATAACAAAAACTGTCATTTGTCACTGATGACAAGCTTTGTGAAATAGGGCCCAGATCTCTGGGTGCCCATGTGTCCCCGCGCCCCGTTGCCTGTTAGTGTCGAGCTGTGGTTTAATAAGACATTTATACTTCTATAGGCTCATGCTGTTTTGTTTTTCTTTATCATACCTGACAGGGATGAAATCTTCATAGCTCCCTCTGGTGTACAAAAGGAAAGAGTTCAGGTAACTTAGAATTGATCTACCTAAGTAGATTAATGTTAATATGTCATTCATGTGTAGTTCATATCACAAGATGTATTATTTACCTTTACATGCACTTACACATCTGCAAGAATCTTCAGCAGTGAAGGAGGCAGATTAAGAAGAATATAACGTCTTAGTAGATCCTTGTCATTTGATTGGGGATCGTCACATGATATACAATAAATAATCCATTGAACAACTACATGTACATGTACGTCATTGAGCGTGCACGCGACCAGTATTGTCTGATGTTATATAAAACAAATAATGAATGTTTTTTCGCTTGTTCAATAATGTGAATTTGTCCATTCGTATCAAGTTGAATTGAACGTCAATCTTTCAACTCATAAACATTCATTATTTGTATATTATTAAATAAATACCCTTTTGCAACTCGGTGCGTTTAAAGATCAGGTTCTAGTACACCTGGGTCAAGTGTGGCGAACGTAGATTAACGTCTTGCCAAAAAACTCCTGAATAAGTTAAATGAAATACAAGAATTAAGGGTGCATTGATAATGGTGGTGTTTAGTAACGGTTGATTACCATAGTTCTTTAATACCCACTTAAGTGATTCTATTTGGCATTTATGTTACGGAAATTTTGGTACGCTTCAGATTATTTTTATTTTTTATATTCATTATTGGTATACTACTAATAATAATAATCTTGTAGTCCACTCCAAATTTTATTAAACCGAAAATAGAAATTCTTTTTGCTCAATTGACCGTGAGCCCGGCAGCCACTGAGCAGCGCCAGATTGATGTTGCTCTATCCCCTTATTGTTGAACGCCAAACAAGGTAGCAGCAACTCCTGTCTTTTGGTATGACGCTGCCGGGGTTCGAACCCACGACCTCCTGGTTGTGAGGCGAACGCTCTTCTGACTGCGCCAACACACTGGTATAGAGCCAAACACCAGTGAAAAAACAAAATCGCTGAATGGACAGTAAATATTCAATTTCAGTTTTGATTTCTTTTTTCTTCAATTTTCAGTCAGAGGATCTTTTTGTGACCAATCTCATTGAAGAGGATATCAGTGGACCTCCCCCAACCAAGAAACTTAAGAAGAGTCAATGTACACCACTCTTTATGAGCTGCTATACTCTAAGAGGTAATTATCTCACACATATAAATCATTCATTCTATTTATCTATCCATCCATCTATCCATCTGTTCATCTATCCATCAATCTTCTATATCAGTGGACCTCCATGACTCGAGAAACTTAGGAAGAGTCAATGTACGCCACTCTTTATGAGCTGTTTCATTCCTTCTAACTATCTATCTATCCATCCATCTATATCAGTGGGCCTCTGCCAACCCAAAACCCTATGAAGAGTTAATGTACGCCAATAATGAGCTGCTACATGTAAGTAGAGGTAATTGTCACACATGGCACATTCAAATCCAATTTCTATCTTGACTATCTTTCTATCTAGTACCCAATCTAACTATCCATCCATCCGGCCATCATTACTACAGTTAACATTACACAAGTAGAATCTGCTGGGACTGAAGAAATCACTCTGACATACAATAGGAATGACAGTGGGGGAAAATCAGAGGACTTTTTTAGTTTATTGCTTCAACTTCTATATGCATACTGGAGGGTCACAGCTATTAGCCTGAATTCACAAAGGAGGTTAAGCTTAACCCATGGTTTAAAACCTCATCAACATAACCCATGGTTTAACAAATAGCGCAAAATAAGCGTACCTTGCCTTGCACGCATCTAATATTGGCCATCTGACTGTTTCGCGCATATTTTGCGCTAAATTTTGCGCTAAATTTGAATGAGGATTTAAACCATGGGTTAAATTCAAACCTCCTTTGTGAATTCGGGCCAGTATGTATGTTTTTCTTCTCCCAGGAATAGGGGACACCAAAAGGTTTATTAAAAATATTGATAACTAATGGTAATAATAGTTGATGATGATAATAATAATCATGATATTAATATCAATAATCATAATAAATAATAATAATGACAATAGTTTGTTCTTATATAGCGCTTTTCAGGACCGCAGGCCCTCTCAAAGCGCTTTGCAGATATGTATTATTACCCCGGTCAACGGATTCAGGCTTACCCGCACACAATGTTTGCACATTCTCCACTCCCTAGGGAGCATTCCAGCCGGGCATCATTTTTATAATAATACAAATAATTATAAAAATAACAATAAAGATGATAATAATAACAATAATATCAATCATTCTACTTGTGTTTAGTGTGTCAAATTATGTAACCTTGAGTGTGTTTATTTTGCTTTACTCGACTGCACAGGGGCCGGAGCATGTATCCACACCCATTCTAAGAGTGCAGTTTATGTCACCTTGATGTCACAGGGGTCAGAGTTCAGGATTACTCACCAAGAAATGATCAAGGGCATCAAGAAAGCAACAACAGGACAGAATTACAGGTACCTCCCCCGTTAATGCAAATGGAATAGTCCATCTTTATGTTTTCAATATTGAGAGTGAGAGCATTCTATTTGTTAGTAGGGGTGATGGATTTCTTAAACGAGGAATACTCATGAAGAAGGTAAAGGACAGAATTACAGGTACCTTCCCCGTTTATGCAAATGGAATAGCCTATCTTCAAGTTTCCAATATAGTTACCGGTACTCAAACTTCAAATTCTAAAACCATGACCTAAACTTAGTTTATAACTTGAAGTTAACTGAAAGTTTTGAAACCAAGGGTTCAGTTTCTAACTACAAGATAACTACAAGAAAACTCAAACTTCAATGTAAAACCATGGCCTAAACTCAAAATTAAAGACTGTCGTGCGTAACTAAATATTTGTTATGTTGCATTCACACACAGATACGATGAGCAGTTAGTGGTCCCCATCGTTGAGAACACACCATTTGAGAAAGACTTGAAGGTAATGTGCATTTCCAGATTAAAACAAAATGAATATATCATCTGTTTGGAGCCTGAAGGCTGTTAACTCAAATCCTTTGATACAGGGTTAACGGCTTTATGGCCATTTTGAGAAAAAGGGGTTTATGTGTCACTGAGCACTCGGGCCTTAAATATACTATGTCCCTTTTGCAGCCAACATCAAATTCTTTAGAACGTTGCAGGAATTATGAATATGTCATGTGTGTCCTCTCTGTAAAATCTAAACGTTAGCAGTGTCCTAATATTCAAATTATGCAAGGAAACCTATTTACTTGCTAGACTTCTCTGTCAGACACTATTGAGTGACTGACTGGCTTTTTTCTTCTTTGGTAATAACATAGGTACATAAAATGAGCTGTAAAGGGTACATGAGCATTTGTCTACATCAATAACCCACTTCTTGTAATGGCCCATATTAAACTGATTGAATCTTTGCGCAGCATAAAACGTACAACCATTCAGTACAATGGTCTGAAAATCAGACTATACTTACTCGCTCTATAGCTCTTAAGTCGATTTGACAACTAATAGTCGTTATTTTCCCACTTAAAGACATTTTCAAGCCCCCCTTTTTTTAGGGAAGTTTTAAATTAGTATTATCTTTCAAATGCTGTTGGAATTTAACCTTTTCATTTGTTTGGCCTGCAAATGGGACATAGTACATTTAATACAGGGTGAATGGCTTTCTGCCTCCAAACAGAATTTCCCTTTAATATGATAATATATATATTCTATAATATTTTATTGACAGTTTATATGGAAATTTTAAACAATAAGCTGAGTGTACATTTGTATGTGTAACTAGAGGAAGGGAGATAGTGGACACATTCTTCAGGGTATCTATTTCCTACAAAATAGAGGGCATAAAATTGACTATTGATTGTGTCTTTACAATAATATTCGACAGTTGAATTGAATGCCCAGCCAGCAGCTCTTTTTTCTCACCCTGTAGGACTTTTTGGGCCAAATCTGAATATAGCCTCGTTCAGATGTGGTATGATAAACCATGGCAGCTTTTTTCCCCGTTTATGTAAATGGAATAGTCCATCTTCATGTTTCCAATATTGAGACTAAGAGGATTCTATTTGTCAGTAGGGGTGATGGATTTCTTAAACGAGGAATACTCAAGAAGAAAGTATACCATGCTGGAACAGGTACCTCCCCCGTTTATGCCTTACATTTCTGTGTCCTATACTGTCTGCAGAGCTCAGTGAAGTACCTTTGTTGTATACAGGTGCTATTTATTTACAGATTTTTTTTTTTAAATGCTGCATTTTACTGCACACCATATATTTGAGCAATAAGTTTAAAAGGAAAAATAGACTTGCTTTGATATTGATGTGTTTAAAATGAACTGCTAACAACATCCCTGTGCTTGCTTTCATTTGATTTTTAGAGTTCTCTGGAGAAAGCGATGAATAAATACCCCGATACGTATGCTGTGTTGGTCAGACGCCATGGTATATACGTCTGGGCAGACACGTGGGAGAAGGCTAAAACAATGTAAGTTGTAATGTGTATCAGGGGATGTATGATAAACTACTCATGTTTAAAAATAAAGTTGAGTTCTGGTCATGCCATTGCATTGTGAAAGAAACGTGGAATAGATCAGAAAAGGTTGATCATCTAGCATAAGTATTGGTGTGAACTGCAGGGTTCTGGAATCATTAAAATGATAAGAAATTTGACTCTGTCTTGGTTACAAGCACTGTACACAGGAAGATAAATATAGGCCTGCACAAACATGTGGCATAAAAATCTGTCCCAATTTTTCTGATGTTACATGTCATATTTAGAATATTAAGGCATTTGAAGAGCCATGCTTTTCAGGGAACATTTATTATCTGATGTTCTTCCACACTTGCATAATACAATGATAATGCACACAAAATAATTGTTCACCTCTTCCCAGGACTCGACCTTCTCATTAAACAAGTCTTATGTCAGTAAAAGTTACGTGATAATGATCATCGCTGCCTGTATAGCATCGATGTCAGCCTCTGCTGGGTGCCTATTATGGTGCTTCCTCTACAATTTTTCCCTTTTTCCAAAAAAGAGATCTGAAATTATCATATGTTGTGTAGGAAACAGAAAATTGTGGTTTTCTGGAAATTTTAATTTATGCAAAAAGCGATAGGACAAACAAACAAAAATATTTAGAGAGAGATGGTATAGACAGTTTCCATGTGCAGTAATGTACTGACACCAGACTTGGTGGAAATACCATTGATGGGTGTACAGTACTCGCACACAGCAAACCCATGGTCTGTGATGGTCAAGAGATACTCCCTAGTCTCTCGGGCGAAGGAAATGTAAGATAACGACTTTTCAATATGGGGTGATTGGTGGAAAATGTAGAGCATGAGATTATAGGCCTGTTGGTCATAAAAGTGAAAGCTATAAGCCTGGTGATTGATAAAACCTGTTTTGGGGGAAACACCCGCATGGTGTCGAATTCACAATGAGAGACAATTACTATGCGTATTTGAAATAAATGTACATCTACAGAACCAATCAAATTAATAATTTGTATCATATTTCTCATATTATCTAGGTGTGAATGCTACGACTATCTATTTGAGATTGCTGTTGGGATGAAACAGCTAGGATTGGACCACACGAGGGCACCAGACGGACCAGAAGGGGGCATCGTTGGATAGCAGCAAAAAGTTTCATATTTTGGTTTGAAATGATTTATTTGATGACCATTTATTTTGTCAAAGGTTGAGGGTAGGGTTGCATCTGGGTCTAGGCTAGGTTTACGATTTGAATTTGGGTTATTTAGAGTAGTGGTGGTGGTTATTTTACCCGACTGCTAAAAAGGTATAAATGCTTGTTAGTAAGCAACCAGAGGACCGACAGCTTTAGGTCCTCTCCGAGGGACCTGGTAATGAGGATTACTGCCTTACCAAAGGCCACTATTGCATCAACTTGGTTTTGAACCCGGGTCGCCGGATTAAGAGACCACTGCTCTACCAACTGAGCTATTGCGCCTCCTGTAATGTATGTATTTTATATAGCCTTGCGTTCAGATAGCCAGAATTCATGGCAAAGCTTTACGATAATCTCATGTATATTACATTTTATGTAGTCTTTGCGTCGTGTAAAGAAACATCGTTAATGAAACGTTAAGCGAAACACTGAATGTAAGCTCAAAAGAATCACAATTCCAATCTAGTCTGAATGTCTCATCGTACCAAAATTTGGGTGGGGCTTACAGTGAGCACGCACAGAAGAGCCACCGACCTCTTCAAAAGCAGTTTCTGTATTCAACGTTTCTTTAGACGATGTTTTCTACTCTGTATGTTCCTTTCGCTATACAATGATTATTTATAAAGTGAGAATAGGTTATGGGATTGAGGCTCGAAAAGGGACGAGTGTTTTCTACTTGCCTGCTCATTTCACTATACAATGATTATTTATACAACCTTTCTTTATTCAAGTTCCTTAATTTTTTTCTCGAGTCTGGTTATGGGATGAGTGTAGGAATGTGACCATGGTGCAATTGTCACCAGAGCATGTGCTATAAAATCATTTTCAAAAGTGTATCGTAAGAAAACCATTGCCAGATTCAAAAGTTTTTTCTATTGCTTTTAAAGTCAAATGCATTTGAAAATAATGCGAGTATGCCAAATAGTAATGTTTGCTTCCTTTTGAAATGATATACATGTAAATAGTATTTATTTTACAATATAAATGGTTATTGTTATTGTTATTCCTGCCTTATACATGTATGTAAATGAACAATTTGATGGCCTGAATCATTTATATGTGCCATTGTCCATAGTCAATTTTCTGCAAACTAAATCAGCAAAAAAAGAAAAGAAAGTGGACACTGTCTATTGTTCAAAATCTATAAACCATCCGTAAAATATTATAAAATACATTTCACATTAAAGGAAAAATACTGCTCTTCCAACATCAATTCAGAAAAAGTTTTGAACAATCGACACTTGGCTGTGCCATTAGAAGGTCTGATTTAAAACAATTGCAAAATAGAGCAAGTAGCCATTCAAATGTTATTGAATATGTGCATCTGTAAGACATTCTTGTTGAACAACGAAAACAAAGAATTAGAAACATTGAGGAGGATTAAGCTCTGGGGGTGTTTCACAAAGATCCTAAGTCAAACTTAACTCTAAGTTGGACTTGAACATTATGGAGAGCCATTTGTAGCTTTAAAGTAAAATATATTCAAAAGCCTAAATTCCAAGTATTTTAGACCTTTCATAAATTCCATGTCAAGATCATGAAATCTCCTTGATAATAGCAAATATGAATGATTTGAATCAACATTTTATGCCTTTTAAAATAACTTTTACAAAATATTTTCAGGGATGCTAATGGTTTTCCATATTTGTTTAGTCCAACTATTAAAGAGATAAGTTCAATTTAGGATCTTTAGGATTCAATGAATGGTTTGGAAAAGCACAGTCAAGATGCATATTTTGTTTCATTGTGATTTTTTTTCTTCTTCATTGTTTTATAAAAGATGAAAGATAAAAATGCTCATCAATATTGGAATAGACAAGTGCCCCATTTTTGCAATTTTCTTTCACCAGTGCATGTATAGTATCTTAAAGAGGCTCAACTTATGTTTATTTTTATGTGTGACATATTAAACAAATATATCATGCAGGCATTGAAATTATGGATCGAGGTGGCAGGAATAGCACTCTTTCTGTAGCCTTCGAATCCATAATTTCACTAGTGGCTTGAAATAGTGCATGATATATTTGTTTTATATTTTTCAAACCAACCTTAATAAAAATAAACCATGGATGATGTCGCGGTTTAGTACAATTTCTTATCAGTTACATCATAGCAATGTTATGTTTCGTCACGTGATGCCTTGTTGACCAATACAAAAATATTAAAGTTTATATCAAATGTATATTTGAAAATCTTAATTGTAGAGTGTCCACTTTTTTGTTGTTGGCTGAGTGTATATTTCGGATAGCATATCTCTAGAACGAAAAGACCATCCCAAGTCATACTATTTTGCAATCACAGTGACATTACCGATTCAGGCTACATGGAATGACCATATTCAAAGTATAGTGATGGTAGTATGCTATTAAGGTTAGAATTTCCTGGAATTTAAAAGTAATTACTAACAAATCACTGACTGGTTAAACACATGTTGTAAGCAAAGTTAAGTCATGTTTATTCAACATCCATGTGTAATATTATTATTATCATTATTATATCACAATAATTATTTTAATTGACATCGTTATTAATATTAACAAAAAATCGATCGACCAAATTTTGGGACACACACACAAAAATGTGCTCTCCTCCCCTGCTTATTCATCGGCTGGATGAGTCGTTGCGAAATTGTATATGTCCTCTTATTACCCCCCCCCCCCCCGGTTATTCAGCTGCTGGCCGAGTCTTTGCGATTTTTTCAGCGTGATTTTCAAATGTTAAACCCCCCCCCCCCCCCCGGCCCCCTCAAAAAAAATCCTGTGTACAGGCCTGATCACAATCATACAAAAAATACACAAGATTTCACTTACATCAATTTAAATGGCAACAGGAATTAACACCTCTTGTTATGGATGCATTTTTTCTCGTTATGTGTATGTTTCCTGGTATGGACAATAAATTATATACTTATACAGTACTTATGCTTTCACTTTTATCTTGATTTATTTTTTGCAGAAAATATAATTGTTCATGAACACAATAGAGAAATCGTGTGAGAAACCTTGGGGCAAATCAAATCTACACTCATTCAAACAAATATTAAAACTGTACTCTCCCAAGATAGAAAGTGCCTTCTCTCATAATGCTCCGGTCACAAAGGTTTGTACGAACGATAATTTTGTACAAATCTCCGTTTTTCCATTGTCTTCCCGAATTTCCATTGTCTGAAAATCATTCGTACGACGTTCGTAGCAGTTCGTAATGGCATTAATGACCAAGGCTTAAGGTGCAGCGGATTTACAGGAAAATGAAATGAAATAAAGCTAATTTACATAAAAAAGGTCAATAAAGGTCAATATCACAAATGAGATGTGAAAGAATTGCAAAGTTAGATGGCAAGTGAGAGAAAAACCAATTATCAACAATGATTATCAAGGTGAAAAAAACATTTGCTATACATGTAAGTTATATGTGCATCATAAACAAATTAACACTATTAGTTCTATCAGATATATATATATATATATATATATATATATATATACTGTTTATACATCAAAATAGGTTTCACTAAGTACGTCTTACAAGATCAAATATCCAGAAATATTCACACACGTATCGCACATTGCTAGTGAAGTTAAGTCACTTCTTACATTCATATTCCCATTGTTAATATCAATTTTTCAATGAATATCGCACCAGTTGAACATACACATCCTACAATATAACTTGTCACAGAACCATTTGTAAAAAGCAATTGATCATAAAACATCATTTGTACAAAAACTCCTGCACCGGTAATCTTTGGTTTGACAGTTTCATATTTGTTATCGATTGATCATTGAAATAGAAATAAGCTTTACTGACAAGGAAGTTTAAGTTACTAATTCCCATTCGCAAAACAGGATGATCAGATACAATCTGAATCAATGTGTTTATAAATGTTGCATATCATTGGGTGGGATTTGGTGCCCATGGCGCAGATCCTTGGGAGGGATTTTTAAAGTTTTAAGAGGTGGTGGTTATTTTACCTGGCTGCTAAGAAAGCATACATGCTTGTTAGTAAGCAACCAGACATGCGACGGCTTTAGGTCCTCTCCGAGGTACCTGGTAATGAGGATTAATGCCTTATCAAAGAGCACTAAGCGCATTGACTTGGTTTCGAACCCGGGTCACCGGATTACGAGACTATTGCTCGCATATCATCAGGTGGGATTTGGTGCCTATACAAGGCATTACTCTCCATCCTTGCTGTTCATGTCCGACAGGCTATCACTAAGGACGTTTGAACCTGTGAGCTGTTCATCACCACTCTTAAAGGTCAACCTGTCAATCTCACTCAGAGGATACCCATGAAGGAACAGTTCGTCCTCTTCACCCACGGTGATCTTCCTTGTCAGCTTGGTGCGCTCAAACTGCAGGCTCTGAGCCAAGGGCGAGCGGGACTTCCGACTGGCCGGCTTCCGCGATTTCGTCTTCCCTTCTTCAGAGTTCACCGATCCTTTGCGAGGCTCTGAGAGCCATCCTTTGCGCAGATCGGTCTCGTCCTCCCGGCTCTCCACCTTGTCTGTACTGGCAGGCATCGTATCGATGCCTTCATCAACATCCTCGCTAGCTGTCTCACTGTTGTGGAAGTAGTCATGGAGGACAGCGACTGTACCCATCCTGGACTCCCGGAACTTTGTTGGATCATACGGGGTGTGACTAGCTTGCCTGCTCTGGCGTAGCTGTGTGAGGAAGCCTGCATGCTGCAAGATGTCTGTAGTCTGCGTGACACTGCTTGCTGTATCGATACTACCCGTTGAGCTCATATTATCCCCAGTTAGAGTATTCTTGTCCAGGCGGATTGACACTTCACTCTCATTCCCCAGCTTCTGCCCATCGAGTAACACTAGTGGTTTTGCAGTTGATTTTGCAAGCGGGGTTCGACGGTCGTGGCGTGTCCCGGAGAAGGCCTGGCTCCTTGCGTCGCAGTTGCGATCGTGAAGTACGTGGAAAGCTCTGGGATTAGGGTTCACCAACTTCTCAAGCGACTCAACAGCCGCTTTCTTGGCCTCTCTTTTATTCCTTCTTCTTGTCCTCTGTTAACAAGGACAAATTAAAGGAATAATGAGTGTGTTAGTACAGTGAAACCGGTACATACAGCTTGCGCAGATAAAGTGTCCGAAACAGTGGTGGCCTTTAACAGAAGGTCGTTTTTATGTTCAGGTTATTTTTTGTTACATATTTGGAATTGGTGCATCTCTTTCTAACCCTTTTTAATAGGAAGGAATTATTTAGGGGTTTATTTATTTGATCAATTTAATTTTCTTCTTCAAATCTCTGTAGAAACAGACTGATTAGGAATACATTCCGTGAGTGCTTACTTTCCAGGTACATGTATATCAAAATATACTTCATGTGCTTAACAAGTTATCCAATAAAGTCTACTACAGTCAAACCTGTCTACAGCGACCACCCAAGGGAAAAACCTAGAGTGGTCTTTGTAGACAGGTTCCTTTACTACATGTTTCAATGAGAAACCATTTTCAAGGGAAACAACAAATGTGGTCTTTATGGACATATGGTCTTTGTAGACAGGTGGTCACTAAAGCAGGTTTGACTGTACTACTACTACATGTACTACTACTAGTACTACTACTACTACTACTACTACTACTATACCAATATTTTCTGGGTTTCCTTAATTAGAAACACGGTGAAAGAAATAGGAGACTTACCTCTTCTTCAATTCTAGCGACTCTGGCTCTCTCAATTTCATCGGCTTCTTGGCGCTTGACTGCAGCACTCTTGAAAGTGTGATGAGGTAGGAGTTTCTCCAGCTGGGAATGCAGGCTCTGCATAGTGCGTTCCTCCTGCAAAGATTAGCATAGATGAAGGTAGAGTTTTAAAGGGAAGGTACTAATACCATCACATTTATACATGTACTATTATTATCTATGTCAGGCTGACTAGCGAAATAACAAAATTGGACTCACCTCGGTATGGCTTTTTTTTGTGTTGTGATATTGATATTGATATCGATAGTTGAAGTTCCCAGATAACTGACCAATTTTGAAAACAATGTTGGTCAATTATCCGGGTACTGCGCTAAAGAAATTGAATACACTGATTTATTGTACCACTTGGAAGCGTTATATAGATAATAATTGTAAATATTGAGTGCTCCAGAGTTCAAAGAAGTAAAGGCAAATCTCATACATTAATATATTTTTATAAATATAAATATGCCAAAATTATCAATATTGTGACAAGTGGAACAGCTTACCAGAGTTTGTATCTCGTACTGGAGACTGTCGAGTATATGTTGTCTCTCTTTCACGTTATCCTCCGTTACGACAATCTTCTCCGTCCTCTTATGTTGCTTTGTCTTCTGTTTCCATGGTAACACATTCTCATTATCCCCATCGGGCCTGGCTCCAGGGAAGGCTGAGGGAAGCATGCCTGGTGGGGGTTTGAACCTCTGACCTGAGGTGTGGACGCTGGAGGGAGCAGAGTGCAGGGCTAGAGGAGTACAAAAGAGTCCGTATAACAATTTGAATACAAAATATTCTGATCATACATGTACGGTATACATAAAACAACATACATCTTTATGGTATACTATTATATAACAATGTTAATGAAAGTATAAACAAAATTCAAAAAAACAATCATCATGAGACAAGGGCCATGTTGCACACAACTTACTATTGATGGTAACTACCATAGAAACCTTGATTTTGATTGGCTGTTGAGCCCTGTTACCATGGTAGATGCCATTGATGGCAAAGTTACCATCAATGGTAAGTTTTATGCAACGGGGCCCAGAAGTCCTACTATTTGTTTCCCTGACACACACAAGAAATATTAAAAGGTTATATCTCAGGAAACGTATTCCTCCAACATTCTGTCTTCATAAACAGAAATACAATAAGAAGAATATAATTGAAAGAATTAATTGAAAGCGAATAAACACACCTTTTTACTATACTTTCCTATTTAATAAAAGAAATGTGTAACCGGAATCTGAAGCACCATACTCGACCCGATCAGCTTTGTGTTCCAGCTCCAATTCACAAAGTGTGTACCTTACTACAGACAGCGTTGAAAACAGCAAGATAATACAGCTTGCACAATACCCATTTCACATCACAAAATTAATCACAGCTATAATCCACACCTTTAGTTCCTCAATGCTACTTGAATTATTGCAAGAGAGGTGATTTGGGGATATTTATTAAAAGGTGTCTTTCTACATTCTATATTATCTGAAAGGACCCCATTCGTCCACTCGACAACAATAATTAAAATTATAATGATAACAACAACAAAAATAATATGAAGATGAAGAAGAAGAAGAATATAATGACAATAAGAAGACAAGACAAAGAAGGACAACAAAAAAGAAGAACAATAAGAAGAAAAAAGAGGAAGAAAATAATGAACTCTCCACTATCTGGTAGGTATGTAGTTTTGATCAATCAAGTGCCGATCAATATTTTCAATGGTCCCACAAGACACAGCTAGGTCCTTTGCATCAAATTAACTTTTGCAGTGTGAATGGGTCAATGGAAACCATTGGGATACCCAGTAGGTAATCCTATTTGCATAGTGTATAACAAAGGTGCACTTCAGACTATAGTGATCATGATCGTGCAAAGAAGTCAGGTATTACTTGATCCTTGGTTTGCTGTGTCTTCTTCAAATAGAAAGATGGCTTAACAAAGAATGCATGAAGATAACATTGTTTGCTGATATCTTAAAAGGATGTTAACTCTATGGTAAAGAGTAGGAGTTACGCCCTTCTGGCTCTCAGCATATGATATATGTGTTGATTGATTCACTCCAAGGAAATGATTTATTCACGTTTTGTGAATTAGGGAATAAATCATGACGGAACTAGTGGCAGTATGGAGCCAAAACCAGCTAGTATGTTATTTGCATGATCTGTAAGATAGCCAGGCACAATGGGGATGTGGACACGTTGGGAAAAGAAGGGTTAATGCTTCGGTATTCTATAAGAAACAGTTGATATTATTATCATTATAATTCTAAATTCTAAATTAGAAAATAAGGAAGATCAGAAAATGAATCATTGAGTGAGAATGACTTACTTTTTCTGTCATGAATTTCTTGAAGCAGCCTTATCCTCGGATCCACATTCCTGGCTGTATCTAGATCGGACTGAAATAAAGGAATATCAAGAAACATAGTTTATAAATGAAAGTGTATGGTGGAAGAAGAAAGAAGGAGATGCTAAAACCCCTCCCACCTCTACCCCTCCTCTCACAAAAAAAATGTTTATGAACCCAATAGCAAGAAATGATGGTATCAACAAGATTATGCACTGTACACCTATAGAAAAGGAAATCTAGCACTATGCAGTCATCATGAGTGCATGTCTAACGCTCCATATCTTATCAAATATACAAGGCATGCATTCAAAATTCCATGCATTGAATGTGTATGACAAAGGAATAGAGAAAGGAATAGCGAAATTTATGCCAAAATGTGAAGATTATGACTCTGATAGAAAAGTGGTTACCCTAATTCTCTTTTCCCTTTAAAAAAAAAAAATCTGCATAAGATGTCAGAGTTTTGAAGGTATGCACATGTAGCCATATTTCTGAAACCATATATGCATTCATTGAACTCGCACCCTAACTGCTTGGTAACTAAATATTTAACTCTTACACTGACTCATGAATGGCATCTCAAAATGCTTTGTATCCAGTGGAAAAGGTACTGTATCAATAGCAACTATTATCATATCTAATGATCTCTGATTTGTATAGAGCCCGTTGTTTTATTGTTCTCTTGTTCTTCCTCCTGATTATTTGTATCAAAACGCTTTCCAATAGTGCTGTAACATCACGGATATCTCCAATTCCGTTTAACCGCCAGTCAAAACCGGACGAAAAAACAAAAATCATTTTTTTTTTTTTTTTTTTTTTTTTACCGACTCTGTCGGCAACTTTCATTTAACTGCAAGGTGCATTTAAAGGGGCCGATTTGTGCTTGTGAACTTGTCACAAATAATAGTAACAATGTTGTTTTTAGAAGAATGTGTAAGATCATTAATGTAAATTAAAAACAGTAGAGGACCTAGGACAGAACCTTGTGTAAAAGTTGGATGAATTATTATTATAAACTACATATTAAGATGATGAGATCTATTACAAAGATTACTTTCAAACCAAGATGACAGACAAATTGGAGTGTTGTTCTAGTTTTGGAGTGGTGAGTCAACACACAGATTACTGAGCTGGGAGACATTGCTAGGCATAGTGCCAGGTGGAGGGGCATAAATCGAAACTTAAAAAAAAAAAAAAAAAAAAAAAAAAAAAGTCGGGAAAACGAAACCGTCCAATTGAAAACGGAATCCGCCATGGGCGGTCAGATACCGGACGGTTAAACGTTTGACTACAGCACTACTTTCCAACCTTTATTCTCTTTTTCACCTTACTTCTTTATCTTTATCTCTTTACAAATTCTCCTCTTTGATATTCTCCTATCAAATTAATATCTTGATTTAATTTTCGTTGTGTGTTAACATAAAAATGGCAGTATGAAAAATTCAGACAGCACACACAAATGCAATCAACTATAATTTTAATTCACCATGTTTTCCCTTCACCATCACTCACTCACTGGAAATCACTGAAAATCTACTTCAAACTCTTGAAAAAATAGAATTAGAAAGGACATTTCAGCCAGCCCAAAACAAAATAAACCAACTTGAACTGCATGATTGCACTGCACTAGGTTTCATTTAAAAAAAAAAAAAAAAAAAAAAAAAAAAAAAATCGCTGATGTAAAATTGCAAGCACGGGTCTTCAAGCCAAAATATTGAGCAGGCCTGTGAAGAAATTCCCCCAAATACCCCAAACTCTCATGTCCCAGTCCACCTCAGTCCATACACCACCCCCCCCCCCCCCCTCTCCGATCCCCGCACAAAACAAGGAAGAGAAAACAAAACAGTCACCATTTCCCATGATCCCACAGCCAAACTGGGTAAGGTAGCAAAAAAAGAGTAATGTGGCAAAGCAGTAACACAGTTAATTCACTTGGAGTGCGGTTGGTTACTCTTACCTTTAGGGTGTCTGAGCGTGCAGATATAGAGCGGGTTGAGGTGCTATAATGTGCAGAATTGGTTGACTAAAGGGTAGGGGGCAAAGGTCAAGGGTCAAGGTCATGGGTCACAGGGATAAAAGGTTATTACTTCATGATGTTGTTACACATGGAATGAATTATAGTCCAGGCTAGGCCCCATAGGAAAGGGACCGAACCATGTTTTTTTATATATACAATGTTTTTTGAGTGATTCTTGTCAATTCGAGGGTGCTGAATCCAAATCCGATGAGTGCCAGACGCGAAACCTTGAGCATTTTTCGTAAAACGCGAAAATTCTAAATGGCCGCCAAAATGGCCGCCAAATCATGAAAACGATTATTATATGGCTATTTAAAAGGTTATTTGATGTTTTCTTGTCAAATCGAGGGTGCTGAATCCGAATCCGAGGTGTGCCAGATGCGAAACCTTGAGCATTTTTCGTAAAACGTGAAAAAATTCAAAATGGCCGCCAAAATGGCCGCCAAAATGGCCGCCAAATCATGAAAATGCTTATTATGTGGCCATTTAAAAGGTTATTTGATGTTTTCTTGTCAATTCGAGGGTGCTTAATCCGAATCCGATGAGTGCCAGACGCGAAACCTTGAGCATTTTTCGTAAAAAAAAACGCGAAAATTCAAAATGGCCGCCAAAATGGCCGCCAAATAAATTTAATTACACATTTAATAAAACCATTAATGAGCACGATTTAAGACCTCAGAGGTTTTTTTTTCTAAATGTGCAATTATCACCTGCAAACAAGTATACAAACACGCACACACACACCCACCCCACCCTGACACACACCCACATCCACACCCACCCACACCTCACACACACCCCACCCCTCACACAAACCCCACCCCTCACACACACACACAAACATCACATAAAGTACGATGCCACATTTGTATAATGCATGACTCAAACACAAATTTGAGACTTTTCAATTTAGTTGGAGTCAGGTGACTTGTCACATGACTAGTGCCATGGCCTTCACATTCACCATGGAAACAAGCATCTGAGAGCTAGACCCTTGGTTAACTGGCTACCACATCATGTAATTGATATATACAACAGGTAAGATGAAAGCTATGTTTGAAATTTCTGTTAGAATATGCAAGTGTGACAACATTTGATTTCTTGTATAATCTACCTAAGATATGAACATAGGTCTATCCTGATGTGTTTGTGTGGTAGTTTTAATAAAGTCATTCTAGATCTACAGTCCCACATATATTACTTTGCAAGTGCAGTATTTTATCTACATATTGAATGTTAAATGAATACATTATTTTCATCATGACTCTATGCAATTGAAATATTAAGGTTATCCAGTATATTATTACACTAGATTATAATATAATACTGTTTTCACACTGGCAATATTTTGCTTAACCCCGTAATATAGGTGGGGTTAAGGGGGGGTTTTAGCCCCACCTATAGTACGGGGTTAAGCCTATTCCACTTTCTGTTCAGACTGGTTTTTACCAAAGTGGGCTAAAGTTGGCTAACCCCACCTATAGTACGGGGTTATCTAACCCTGCAAAATAGCAGGGCTAACTCCGCAATTGTGGTGCTAACTCCTGCTAACCCCGCAATTGCGGTGCTAAGCCTAAGCAAATGAATGAGAACAGAAACGAAAAAATAGTCCAGTACTACGCAATGGAGCGTATCGCAGCTGGCCAGATGCGAAGTATGTCCAATCATAACATTAACGATATCCGGGGTTAACAAGATGCAGTGAGAACAGCGGGAATTTTCTTATTCCGGAATAGGCGCTAGTACGGGACTAAAAACATCGTGTGTGAAAAGCCAAAACAAATAGTCCGGGGTAAAGGATAGTACGGGGCTAAGCAAAGTACAGGGTTAAGAAAACCAGTGTGAAAAGAGTATAAATGTTATAAAGTGAATGTAGAGCTAATAAGGTTAAATTTATTTGTTATTATGATAGCCCTAATCAAGTTCAGTTGAAAGACAAAACAGAAAAAGTGACACTTCAAGTACTTGCCCTTTTACATTACTATTACATTGTAGTTTTGCATAGATTAATTAAGATACAATTACATTTTATTTTTTATACAATTATTTTCCTAGGTGGTGATCTACATAATGGAGGAAGTATGCATTATCTGCCAAACAAGCGGATTAAAATCGCTGATCCTCTCATCAAGAGTAGAAAGTTTCCGCATTGCAAGCTGTCTAAGGGGAGATGGCGTGAGTGATCTTCTTGAAACCGATGCAGAATCATTCAGATGCCACAAAAACTGCATTAGCACATACTGCTCTAAAGACCATATCCAGAGATTCTTGAAGAGGAAGAACAGTGGTGAAAAAGAATCAGATCAATCAAACGCCCCAAAGCGATTGCGGGGAAGGGCAAGAGAATTTAACTTTCTTAAGCAATGTCTTTTCTGTGGAGAAGAATGTGACTTGGAACGGTCTAGAAAGAATCCAAGTCGATGGAGGAAAGCATACTTGTGCCGAACTGCGTATAGCAATGACAAGACCGCTTGGAAAGATAATATTCTGGAACATGCCATCAAACGAGGTGATACTTGGGGTAGTGATGTTGCATTTAGAACCAATAGTGCATTGAGTGATCTCCATGCAGCAGAAGCACGGTACCACAAGGACTGCATGGTAAAGTTTTTCAGCAACAAACCTGCAGCAAACACAGACGGCTTGATGGAAAGAGCTTTGGACGAACTAATCACTGAAATGACATCCGACCACTCTCGCATCTGGAACAGTAGAGAACTGCATAATTTATATCAGCACCTGGGGGGAAAGAACCTATCTCGACGTGCGCTCATTGGTTACCTAGAAGATGCTCTTTTTCCGGACATCCTGGTACTCACATCGCCTGGTGTCTCTTCAATCATTGTATTCAAGAACAACGCATCATCCCGACTTCGTATTGAAGATGATGGTGAGGATGAATTTCTTGGACGAGCTATCGCAAGACTTTCCAAGAAGATTAAAGCAGAGTGCCTTCACCATCAACCTGATCCTTATACATATCCAACAAGACTGACCACAGACTTAGTATCAGGTAAATATTACACTGTTTA